TATTACAGATCAAATACAAATAACAAACATGTAAACCAACATTTAAACTTTATCATATTTTTACAATTAATGGAAAATGGCAAAATACCCAATTGAGTTTGAGTGAGGTGGGTACAATTTATTTGGTTACTCAAATGAAAATCAGGATACCCAATTGAGATGAACACAAGCGAGTACATAACTCAATGACCCAAACAGTTATCTGTAGCTCTGATATGTATGTTAACATCATATTTGTGGTGGGAAGTGTTTCATGTGTAGGCATCATATGAATTAGTCCAATCAGTTACACTTTCCATTCTGTCGTGTTCACATGTGTACATATTAATATTCATTAAAATGACTACTCAATTTCTTCACATGTGATTTGTTTGATTGGCACTTGCACCACTTGAAACAACGCTGTGTGATCCTCATGACGTTAATATAACAATCTGCAGACCCCACTTGCCTAAAACTAGAAGGGTAAACCCATTACATAAACTCCGGACACTGTGTGTTTGTTGCAACTGTACGAGGTAGGCCTCACTATGTCCCTGTGATGATACTGATTCAGAGTTGCTTCCCTTTCCATACAATGACAGATGAGAAGGTTGTAAGCAAACCACAGTAGTTTTATCTAACTATATTTACATGTAGTTTGTGTCGTATAATAAGAAAGTTATTAACTTACTTTAGGTAGATCAAATGATATCAGAAAGTGATATTTACTTTTGTTTCAATGAACATCGCTATTGTAAGATATTTTGTATTCATAATATCAAAACTCACCCCCATGTTTGAACAGAGCATGATTCCGAGAATGTGTGTGTCACATGGGTAGTGACAAATGAACACGATGAAGGCGCTTGGCCTGCTGCAAATAGCAACACAGCAGATCTCTTTAATTGGCATGGCTCCTGCATAAACCCCAGAAGTGGCAACTGCCTGGACCAAATAAGCCTTCAACTTCGCACAGTTTCTTTTTATAAATACCACCTAGTTAGACAAAACTAAGACTATCAAATTGAAACAAAGTTGGCACACCTTTGGCGCAAGTTTCAAAAAGGTGAACCACAAGGAAAACGTCAAACACTAACGTTACACTGGCGGGGAGGTCAAACATGCCCCACATGCAAACCAGGCTTAATAACTACATCATAACATCACATTTAAGAAATTTAATACTGCACTGTCTTCAGAATGTACCTATGGCTACCCTTAGTAGGGGAGGTAACACGGAGTGGAGGCTGATATCATGGGGTGCTTATAACCAATACAAATAGATTTTATACTTGTACAATATTTTTATTAAAACATTGTTACAACTGACACAGATTTTCAGCAGCAGAAAATACATATATGTACCCAAAGCAAGGATCTCTTCTGAAATGAGAGGAGAGATGACATTGCCATGATCTAAAGCACTTTCATTTCAACATTATGTGCATAACGAACAAGGTTCAATTGGGTTCAAATATATATTAGCTGGACCAGATTATACACCAGGTCTGGGATGTATTACATGAAGCTGTTAAAGGTCATGTGCAACGTAAAACACAACTTTGCAGATTCTGATACCTTTCGGTATGGACTTACAGCTTGGGTGAAAAGTGGTTTCAACAGCTGTGCTGCGCTGCGCTGCACTGTGCTCATGCGCAGTGAATAGGTTCACGCAGCTTGGAAGGCGACATTTCAAAATGGGAAACCTTCGGCTGTATTTGATGTCAGCTATTTTTCTAATGTTTTGTTGATATTCCACATGCAGGACTGACTGACTGACTGAGTTTGGTTTTACGCCGCTTTTAGCAATATTCCAGCAACATCACGGAGGGGGACACCAGAAATGGTCTTCACACATTGTACCCATGTGGGGATTCGAACCCGGGTCTTCGGCGTGACGAGCAAACGCTTTAACCATTAGGCTACCCCACCACCCCCACATGCAGGAGCTTTTTTTATTTTATGACAGTAGATTACCAATTTAACTGTTTATATAATTTCATTTGACTATTTCACCACATGTTCTTCTTACCGAGTCATTTTCTCAGTTCGATACTTAAAAGCAACGTCATTATTTAGCATTGTCAGAATGTCTAACCGTGATATAGATGTTCCTTTGTCACAGACAAAACTCAATGTCTGTTTTATTGACACCTATGTGTCTGCCTGCCTGTCTGCTAATGACAATATGCAATACACAACTTCGATCACTGACCACATGCAATTTCAACTTAACACCTATCAGTCTATACACCATAAACAAAATGCATTGATTTATGGCTCGTGCACCCGAGTTCTGTGTCTGTCACATTATGTAATTACACAGACAGGCAGGTGTGATTCTTGTACACATGACATGTTATGATGTCTGTTGATTGCAAAATGTTATACACAATAAATGAGCATGTATTTACAAAACCCAACATCTCTATACATACACAAAGAGCCCTGAGTGTATCAGCAAATGAATCAGTCAATGAAAGTCTTCGTTACACTTAAGTGCACACCCACCCGCTCTGACTGGGTTCGGTATCCCGGGTGCATCGTTTCAAGGGAAGTAAACCCAGGTACAAAATATCGCCCTTTTGATTTGCGATTGTACGCTTATAATTTTGTATATTTGCGTTTTCATAATCAGCAATGTATATGAATAAGTGATAATTGTGTTTTAATTATGTTTTTGTTTTTTTGTTGCATGTGACCTTTATGACACTTTCTTCACTATACATCGGTAAGCCTTGTTCCATGAGTGAGTTTTGTTTACGCCGCACTCAGCAATTATTCCAGCTATATGGCGGCGGTCTGTAAATAATCGAGTCTGGACCAGACAATCCAGTGATCAACAGCATTAGCATCAATCTGTGCAATTGGGAACCAATAATGACATGTGTCAAATCAAGTCAGCGAGCCTGACCACCCGATCCCGTTAGTCGCCTCTTACGACAAGCATGGGCTACTGAAAACCTTCACGGGTCCCTTGATCCATGATGCCAGTATGAAGCGTCTCATACGCAGTTTTACTGAAGTACTTAGGACACTGAATACAGAATACAGGCAACTCTTCTTGTTTATGTTAAACATGTCCATCATGCCATGTAGCACCAACATACTTATTCCACATAAACATTAGAAAACACTTGACCTATATCATTTCACTCAAACCATTGCTAAGGTAGAACAAATACCTTATCAATATGGCTGAAGAAATTTGGTATTCTGTGTTCTACTCATGTTTTTAGATGTGTCATTTTAGAAAGATCTTTGTTATGTTATATTTCTGAAGCATCGATAGTGCTGGACTGAGACATTGACAATGTTTGTGCTCACTCTTTTTGATCAATATAACTACAAGACACAAACGACAAAAGGCAGAATTATACTAAGAATTATACAAACACATTTGAACAAATAGCAGCTTCATCAATGTTTAAAAGCTTTGTAAATATTCCAATTATGGGCATATTTTTTGCATATTAAATTGTTACAACGTTTGCTGTATCAATGTGATCGGTTTTGGAGGACAGTAAAACGTGATTGGGTTGCAGTATCGACAGCTTCAAGTACTTTGATCGGATGTGCTTGGGTTTGTTTTGCTTGGAAACGTGCACAGGCTTGTGAGTGAATATCAAACATGGCGCTTCAAACTAAAACTTACGGGATTGGACAGTCCTTGAACCGTTTTCAGATTTATGCATATTGGTGTGCTGATTTCATGTGCAGCCTGCTGTCGGTCAAATGGTGGTGGTAGGTGTATATTCTTCTCGTGGAAATCTCTCCACGATTTACCTGTCAGAGGACCCGCCATACTGTCAACTTACAAATATATTCAATTTTCCATACAACTAATTTCATACATTTCAATATATATATTGAACATGGAAGACAAAAAGAGTTTGTAATTAATAATTAATTATAAACATATTTTTATATGTTTGCAAAATGCAACAGCAATTGTTACGTTATCTAATAAAAAAATGGTATTAGATAGTATCTTAAAAAAATACGCAAATGTACATTTTGTATAGCAAATACTACGGGAAAAAATGCTTCCTGTTGTTCGGGTAAATCAAAAACCAACTCACAACTGAAACAAGACCTCTTGTCCAACATCCATCTGACCATGCATACACAAAAGTAACAAATACTAGCATACATACAGGTTCTATATGGTACAATGTGTTTATATTCAATACACACAGACTGAGAATAAGATATATATGTACTAGTTACACTTACTAGTCCCCGAATATCAAATTCATGCATTAAAACTAAAGGAGACACGGCTTCAGTTGACGCTTGTTTACATGATTCTGAAAAAGTCATAATATTCTAAATATGACCAGTTCTCCATATTGGGGCTAAACGATGCATGTGTCTAACACTAAAACATGAAGACAATTAATTGTCTCATTCGACAATATTTATGAGTGTTATTTTACAATATTATAATGGAATATATAATTTTTGTCTTAGTTGCTGAAAAGAAAATACTACATGGAGTATTCTTAGCTAGGACCCGTTTTAAATTCAATTTGTACTTCCAGATGCAAAGAAAACACACAAGAATTTAAGCGACAATCTCATTTAACCCTCTCCTAAGTATAAACTGTTAAGTAGTCGTAACGAACAAAACTGGCTTCATATTTGGGATGTTGTCCCGTATCTGTGTAAGTGAAAAGTTTTATTAGCTGTCGTATCTTTTGATGTTACTCTTGACCAATTTCTAAATGTCATTGTTTTGGTTTTTTCATGTCTATCTTTTCACGACATTCCATTCCATTTCCGCTTTATAATAATACTGGTTATGCTTTTGAAGTAAATATGATAGCGCAGACACACTGTAAGCTGGTTCCCGGCTCCCTTTGCGCGCGCCACCTTGTACATATGCGAGACGGGGGCCCAGCTTAAGACACGCTGGAGCGATTAGACTGGTTCCCAGTTTGTTCCCGACGGCCGGGTAGGTGGAGCGATACGGGAACCAGTCTATATAGCGATAATGCGTGTTGTGAGGAGCAATTTGATTGGCTATTAAAATGCAATGGCCGCGTCCATCAGTTTAGCGTGACAGGCGTTTGTACGCTACCAGTTACCCTGTGTGTGAAGTGACAAGTGTTGATCTGTCACATACTGTCATCTGTCAATAGCGAAGCGAAGGCATAGAATTCAAGGTAATGTAAAAAATTCAAAATCTTCATCTCGCTGTATTGTTACAATAAGACTTTTAAGCAAAAGACGTACAGTTAAAAATAATGTTGTTATGGCCACAACAGAAAAGTCAAAGTTTTCAGATTGTGAAAAGATGCCACAGGTCAAAGGGCAATTTTTGTCACAAGTGGAATATTAGACATTTTCAATTTGCTGAATCAATGAATAAAATAATCAGTGAGTATACAAAATGAAATCGTCTACATGTAAAATATGATTTTTGCCGCACTTCCCTTATATCCACGAATCAAGGTTACACGAGTGTATAACAAACTGAAATTAGTGATATCCAGAACATGAACATTGTCTTTTTTGCAGTTAGTGCTGGTATGGCAGCTGACCGGTCAGAAGCCTTCGACAAGCTCCGGCCAGTTTGTGTAAGACTCACAAAGGAACAAACAAGTGAGAATGTGCTGGAGGTTTTGCAAAATGTGAGGTCAGTTCAAGCTGAAGTGCTCCAGGATCTGCAGGAGTATGTCCTCTTCCCCCCTGAGATTCATCGTCAAAAACCAGACACAGGACACTCTGTAAGTTGAAAATGGTGGCAAACATATACCATGCCGTCATATGATTCTGTGGTACTTACATTTCCGTGGTATTTTCTAATGACATAATTTCTCACGAGCCACTCACCAGATCGTGCCACCTATCAATTGTTTACGTTCATCAGTTGATCGGCACGGGTCTGAACAAAAAATGTTCTGACTTTCATCAATTTGCGTACGTACAGTCATCTACTATTAAAAACTAATGCAACTTTATGTCTAGTACGTAATGCTTTTTTTGCGCGATCTTTGCAAACATTTTCTATAAACTTACTCAGCTTCAAAGTTTTCCAAACATCGCTCATCTGCAAGCTGATGTCATCAACAAAAGCAATCATGTGACCTAAGGGGGGAATCCCAGCTCTATTTTTTAATCTATAGAAGCCCGATAGGGTCATCTCTTAAGTTGTTTTTTCACTTTTCATTTCACGTATCCCGTATCAACTCTACATATTTTATGAACTGGAAATGTATGCTGAAGAAATGTGACTATTGTGTTAATTCTACAAAATTGTTTACTGTATTACAATTTATCAACTTCAATATTACTGTAAACCTACATTGACACTCCCGGATTGGCTGTTGACAATGTGTGAGATTGTGACATGTGCTGTGCGCCCGTAATTTGATCTGAAGGAAATACCACGGAAACATATGACTTCACCAGAGTTTGTGCACAACGGCCGCCTGTCATCCGATACGGGCAACAATGAACTTCTGAATGACAAAAGTGCTTTATTGACATTAAATGATACAAAGGCATGTCGTCTAACACTATATTATGTTTATATGACTTGGCAATATGAGCGATCATATTCATAGTCATAAATTTCTTAAACCACGGAAACCAATCACGCGAGGGTACTTCAAGAATACTGGCTAGCATATCGTGGGAAGGATGCATCTTATTGGGACATTAACTAGATGTAATTTTGTAATAAATAATGCCTTTTTGAGATTAAAATGGATGAGAATTATCCAAACTGCTTTTATGGCATAAAACAGGGGAGATAATCCTGATTGTGGTGATTCAGTGTTGATACATAGGGGATACTAAACGACCTTCCGTGTAATACCATTTTTATTAAACGAGTTAATGCTTTGATACCAAACGAGCGTACGCGAGTTTGTTACTAAATCTTTCACGAGTTAATACAAATGGTATTTCACGGAAGTGAGTTTAGTATTCTGTTTATTACTCTCCAACATAAATTGATAGAAACTGTGTAGAGTGTGATGACTCGAGTCATCTTTCCGCGAGTCAAGCAAGGTCTAATACCAGTAAGGTGTGCAAGTATTGCTGGTAACAAGCATGTTAGTGTTGGTGACAACAAGTGTGTTTGTGTTCTAGGAAGGAGGACGTCCTCACTGCAGTGTGCTCCTGTGTGGGGCACGTCCTCTCGCACACATCTGTCACCCGCTGGGAAATGTTCCAGGACATGTTCACCACCTTCACAGCACTGTTGGTTGCCCCTGACGATGAGCGAGGCAGAGGTTGGTACTCAAGTGTTAAGCTGAGGAAACATTTCTAAGGCAGTGGTGTTGGAAAAAATAGTGCATGTTGACAAAACTTACAATGTAAAAAAAACAAAACGGTTTTGTACAATCAGCATGGGAAGAGCCCTAACTTAAGCAATTCTTTGAAAAGTAAACTTGCAATAAATTTGTTTCCTTTTGTCCAGTTTGAAATAGGTGCCAATGGTCACCATGGTCACTATTTAGGCAGGGTGACCAAGTTCTTGTACCGTTATGAATCACAGGCATCAACTTCATTAACTCTTCGTGTTATCCAAAATACTCTAACAAGAACACACAAAGACATTACCAACCTCTTGACCAGCTTTGTGTGCTATAATCGTGATGAATATGTTTTCATCTTTGCTTCTGTTGTTCATTATCAAGTTCTGAACTGAGTTTTACAGGCTCAAAAGAAACAATGAATTGAATATGTGTAGTCATTTAACCATCTTAAAATACATAAGTACAGATACATATACATTGTCTTCAGGGAAATTCAATTTGGTTTCCAAGTACCATGGAAACGTAACTCCAGACTTGGCATGTCATCAAATCCTTACTGATGGACACATGTCCTGTTATTGCATGTTCAAAGGGTTTATTGTATATCTGGACTTAAATTTGAATCAATTATTAGTTCTGTTTAAGGTTTATCTCAGGTGTTCAACATGGTGTTTAAACTGATGTCACCAATGGTGGCTGATAAGGAGGTATTGAGAGGTAGGTGTAACAATGTCACCACTACAACCAAGTCGAAGGATGTGAGGCATTAACTGACCCAGTTATGGACTGCTTGCCTATGTAGGGTCCATGTAAAGACTGTCCCTGCACCCGTTTGTCTTTTCTGCAGGTGGCCCAAAGATAGGGAGGCTGATCTGAATCTGTATAAGACCATGATTTGCGCTTGAATCTGCAACTTGTTTGCCTCTTTCCTACCTGGTATCACCATATCTCTGTGCAGGATAGCTACAGGGGACACCAAGCAGGGTCATGCTGTGTTGTGTGTGAGTATCTGTGTGTAGGATAGCTACAGGGCACATGCTGTGTTGTGTGTGAGTATCTGTGTGTAGGATAGCTACATGGGGACATGCTGTGTTGTGTGTGAGTATCTGTGTGTAGGATAGCTACAGGGGACACCAAGCAGGGTCATGCTGTGTTGTGTGTGAGTATCTGTGTGTAGGATAGCTACAGGGCACATGCTGTGTTGTGTGTGAGTATCTGTGTGTAGGATAGCTACAGGGGACACCAAGCAGGGTCATGCTGTGTTGTGTGTGAGTATCTGTGTGTGTAGTATCTGTGTGTATGTATGGAAGCAGTATATCTGTTAGAAATGGCATGTGTAGAAATATTCACGGAAGCAGTATATCTGTTTACCAGTATATCCCTACCCAGTGGCATGTAGAAATGTGTAGAAATATGTAGTGGCATGTAGAAATGTGTAGAAGCAGTATATCTGTTACCCAGTGGCATGTAGAAATGTGTAGAAATATGAAATGTGTAGAAATATGTGCTACCCAGTGGAAGCAGTATATCAGTATATCCCTACCCAGTGGCATGTAGAAATGTGTAGAAATATGTACGGAAGCAGTATATCTCCTACCCAGTGGCATGTAGAAATGTGTAGAAATATGTACGGAAGCAGTATATCTCCTACCCAGTGGCATGTAGAAATGTGTAGAAATATGTACGGAAGCAGTATATCTGTTACCCTGTGGCATGTAGAAATGTGTGTAGAAATATACCCAGTGGCATGTAGAAACGGAAGCAGTATATCTGTTACCCAGTGGCATGTAGAAATGTGTAGAAATATTTACGGAAGCAGTATATCTCCTACCCAGTGGCATGTAGAAATGTGTGGAAATATGTACGGAAGCAGTATATCTCCTACCCAGTGGCATGTAGAAATGTGTAGAAATATTTACGGAAGCAGTATATCTCCTACCCAGTGGCATGTAGAAATGTGTAGAAGCAGTATATCTGTATGGGAAGAAATGTGTATATCTCCTACCCAGTGGCATGTAGAAAATGTGAAGCAGTATATCTGTTACCCAGTGGCATGTAGAAATGTGTAGAAATATGTACGCAAGCAGTATATCTGTTACCCAGTGGAAGTAGTATATCTCCTACCCAGTGGCATGTAGAAAATGTGTAGAAATATGTATGTACGGAAACACGGAAGCAGTGGTATATCTGAAATATTACCCAGTGGCATGTAGAAATGTGTGGAAAATATGTTACCCTGTGGCATGTAGAAATGTACGGAAGCAGTATATCTCCTACCCAGTGGCATGTAGAAATGTGTGGAAATATGTACGGAAGCAGTATATCTGTTACTCAGACAGTTGTAGAGATGTGTCGAGATATGTGCTGAAGCTGTTTCTCTTTTACACAGAGGGCAGTAAAAGTTTGGACAAAAGTGGTTTGCCTTGTGTTAGAAGATTCCCAGCTTGAGGAAAGTGAGAAACATAGCAAAGTACAAGGTGAGATTTCCCAGTCACATCCTACATGAACCATCAGATGATTTACAAGCTCCTGTGATAATGTTGGACTGTAACTTAAACCAACCAACGTTCACCAACTCCACTCATTGGTATTTTTAGATGACCTTGATGAGAAGGTGCGGGGCCTGGTTGTACAAAGGTCAGCAGAGTGGGTGAAGTCCACAGCCACAAAGATGCTGGTCCTGGTGCGACAGATGTCCTCCCTGACCTCCCACCCCAACTGGAGGGTCCGGAACACTCTGGTGGACTGGGCAGACCAACTCCTCCACAGCTGCACCAAGTAAGATGTTTGCTGATAAACATACACCCTTCGTATACAGTGTTTTATAACATGGTAACCATGCACCTTCATTAAACATGTGTAATAAACATACACCCTTCGTATACGGTGTTTTATAACATTGTAACCATGCACGTTCATTAAACATGTGTAATAAACATACACCCTTCGTATACGGTGTTTTATAACATTGTAACCATGCACGTTCATTAAACATGTGTAATAAACATACACCCTTCGTATACGGTGTTTTATAACATGGTAACCATGCACGTTCATTAAACATGTGTAATAAACATACACCCTTCGATATCGGTGTGTTTTATAACATTGTAACCATGCACCTTCATTAAACATGTGTAATAAACATACACCCTTCGTATAGGGTGTTTTATAACATTGTAACCATGCACCTTCATTAAACATGTGTAATAAACATACACCCTTCGTATACGGTGTTTTATAACATTGTAACCATGCACCTTCATTAAACATGTGTAATAAACATACACCCTTCTTATACGGTGTTTTATAACATTGTAACCATGCACCTTCATTAAACATGTGTAATAAACATACACCCTTCGTATAGGGTGTTTTATAACATTGTAACCATGCACCTTCATTAAACAGTGTTTAATAACTGTGAATAACCATGTACCTTTATTCATCATTCAGTACCTGTGAGCAGGACTATTTGAGAACACAGGTGTCACTGTGGCAGATTGCAGTGTGACACCTGTGTGAATGTGGCAGATTGCAGTGTGACACCTGTGTTACTGTGGCCGATTGCAGTGTGACACCTGTGTTACTGTGGCCGATTGCAGTGTGACACCTGTGTTACTGTGGCAGATTGCAGTGTGACACCTGTGTTACTGTGGCAGATTGCAGTGTGACAACTGTGTTACTGTGGCAGATTGAAGTATGACACCTGTGTTACTGTGGCAGATTGCAGTGTGACACCTGTGTTACTGTGGCAGATTGCAGTGTGACACCTGTGTTACTGTGGCCGATTGCAGTGTGACACCTGTGTTACTGTGGCAGATTGCAGTGTGACATATGTTACTGTGGCAGATTGAAGTGTGACACCTGTGTTACTGTGGCAGATTGCAGTGTGACACGTGTTACTGTGGCAGATTGCAGTGTGACACCTGTGTTACTGTGGCAGATTGTAGTGTGACACCTGTGTTACTGTTGAAGATTTCAGTGTGACACCTATGTTACTGTAGCGGATTGCAGTATGACACCTGTGTTGTTGCAGATTGCTCTTTGACACCTGTTTCAATGTGCACTGTGACACCTGTTTCTGACGCCGACTTCTGTCCATTGCTTGTGTTACAAATAGTGTGACACTTGTCTTGTTCCTAGTTTATGTGTAACACCAGTCTTTCTGTGGCAGATCGCTGTGTGAGTGTGGTCCGGTTTTCCTTGAGGTCTTGGTGGGGCTGGTTGGGGACGAGTACTCTGCTGTGGCTGCTAGAAGCAGGAAGGTCTTGGAATCCTACAAGACTCGACAGACCAGCACAGATAATGCTAGACCCCTCACTGAAGTTCTTGAGGAGAACCTGCATGTCCTGGTCCTGTCTTTACCACGACAGATCCGGGTAGCAGGTAGGTGCAGCATCTCTCAGTAGTGGATAGTGGTGTAACGATTCATCGATAGTATTGATGTTTGCATCGTCAACTATGCGATACGAGTGCATTGATGCAAAACACATTTAGGCAATATATCAGGATATTTATATCGCAAGGGTCCGTGATACATCGATGTATCGACACAAGAGACGATATATCCCGATACTACTTAAATACTACTTAAAGTTGTAAGGCGTATTGCATTAGGATTAGGAAGGGAGTCTCTTTGAAATACTTCTAAATTTAAAAAACAAACTGAACCAAGGAATTTGTTTGTGTCTGCCATCTTTGTTACATGGGCAAAGGAGTTGGTGTATCAGTGAAAGAATGTGAACATTTTTCAATCTCTGTGAACTGTAAAAGACTGAAATGACAGTTTTTGTACTTTATGTAATTGAAACATGTTTTAGTTGTTTGACAAATAACACCATCTATTAACAACTATGAACGATGTCTTAGCTTTGCTAAGAAAGAGAAGATAAAATTGAGAAAGCATTCTGAAGAGTTTTTTTCAGTGATTCTGGTATAAATTACATTGAATTGTCAGTGAAAGCATTGGTGCAGAAACACAACTTTCCAAGGGAAACCTAGATCAAGGTATACTGAATATGTTTGATTGTACTTTCTTAAGCATTAAATACTGAAACTTTATTACAACATGAACAGCCTTGTAAGTGTGTGTGAATGTAACACATTTTCTACTGTGTAACAAATAAAGAGTCATTTTATCTATCATATATGTCCTGTTTTTAAAACTGTAAAGTATCGGGATACGTATCGTATCGCCACCATTGTACCATGATGATAATTGTCTCGCAGGTTTCTTGCCAATACTTTCATGATATATCTTCTCGCCTCATTAAACTGGTATCAGGATATATCGTCTCGCCACTTAGGCACCGATACACAGCTCTAGTAGTGGACAGATCCGGGTAGCAGGTAGGTGCAGCATCTCTCAGCTGTGGACAGATTCGGGTAGCAGGTAGGTGCAGCATCTCTCAGTAGTGGACAGATCCGTGTTGCAGGTAGGTGCAGCATCTCTCAGTAGTGGACAGATCCGTATTGCAGGTAGGTGCAGCATCTCTCAGTAGTGGACAGATCCATGTAGCAGGTAGGTGCAGCATCTCTCAGTAGTGGACAGATCCATGTAGCAGGTAGGTGCAGCATCTCCCAGTAGTGGTCAGATCGGGTAGCAGGTAGGTGCAGCATCTCCCAGTAGTGGACAGATCCGTGTAGCAGGTAGGTGCAGCATCTCCCAGTAGTGGTCAGATCCATGTAGCAGGTAGGTGCAGCATCTCCCAGTAGTGGACAGATCCGTGTTGCAGGTAGGTACAGCATCTCTCAGTAGTGGACAGATCCGTGTAGCAGGTAGGTGCAGCATCTCCTAGTAGTGGACAGATCCGGGTAGCAGGTAGGTGCAGCATCTCCCAGTAGTGGACAGATCCGTGTAGCAGGTAGGTGCAGCATCTCTCAGTAGTGGACAGATCCGGGTAGCAGGTAGATGCAGCATCTCCCAGTAGTGGACAGATCCGTGTAGCAGGGTAGGTGCAGCATCTCCCAGTAGTGGACAGATCCGGGTAGCAGGTAGATGCAGCATCTCCCAGTAGTGGACAGATCCATGTAGCAGGTAGGTGCAGCATCTCCCAGTATTGGACAGATCCATGTAGCAGGTAGGTGCAGCATCTCCCAGTAGTGGACAGATCCATGTTGCAGGTAGGTGCAGCATCACTCCAGTAGTGGACAGATCCGTGTTGCAGGTAGGTGCAGCATCTCCCAGTAGTGGACAGATCCGGGTAGCAGGTAGGTGCAGCATCTCCCAGTAGTGACGGATCCATGTAGCAGGTAGGTGCAGCATCACCCAGTAGTGGACAGGATGCGTGTTGCAGGTAGGTGCAGCATCACTCCAGTAGTGGACAGATCCGGGTAGTAGGTAGATGCAGCATCTCCCCAGTAGTGGACAGATCCGTGTAGCAGGTAGGTGCAGCATCTCCCAGTAGTGGACAGATCCATGTAGCAGGTAGGTGCAGCATCTCCCAGTAGTGGACAGATCCATGTTGCAGGTAGGTGCAGCATCACTCAGTAGTGGACAGATCCGTGTTGCAGGTAGGTGCAGCATCTCCCAGTAGTGGACAGATCTGGGTAGCAGGTAGGTGCAGCATCTCCCAGTAGTGGACAGATCCATGTAGCAGGTAGGTGCAGCATCACTCAGTAGTGGACAGATCGTGTTGCAGGTAGGTGCAGCATCACCAGTAGTGGACAGATCCGGGTAGTAGGTAGATGCAGCATCTCCCAGTAGTGGACAGATCCGTGATAGCAGGTAGGTGCAGCATCTCCCAGTAGTGGACAGATCCGGGTAGCAGGTAGGTGCAGCATCTCCCAGTAGTGGACAGATCCATGTTGCAGGTAGGTGCAGCATCTCTCAGTAGTGGACAGATCCGTGTTGCAGGTAGGTGCAGCATCTCTCAGTAGTGGACAGATCCATGTAGCAGGTAGGTGCAGCATCTCCCAGTAGTGGACAGATCCGTGTAGCAGGTAGGTGCAGCATCTCTCAGTAGTGGACAGATCCATGTAGCAGGTAGGTGCAGCATCTCCTAGTAGTGGACAGATCCGGGTAGCAGGTAGGTACAGCATCACTCCAGTAGTGGCAGGCCATTGTGTCCTTGAAGGCAGCATATAGGCACCACTTGCAGAACCTGCATGCCAGTCTACAGCCAGACAGATCCATGTAGCTGGTTCAATTATCGATGTCACACATATGAACATTTTGCATTTTATTATGTTCACAGATGAAGACCAAAAGCTGTGTGCAGTCAATTTACTGGCAGGGTACCTTGATCTTCTGGGTAAGTTAGAAGTAATGGAGATGAGTCTGTAGCACCAGACAACCACAGCACTCCTGCAGCAGACATAAGTGTCACCAGACCATTGATGTTCCAGGCAAATGTGACACCAGACCATTCCTGTTCCAGACAAAAGTGATATCAAACCGTTGGTGTAAAGGGAATACAGTTAAGCCTACCACCATGTATAGTGTAATAAAGCACAATTTAAGCCCTGAACTATTATAGCGTTAAAGCACTCGGACGCAAGCTGCTGCGTGCTTTAACTATAATAGTTCAGGGCGAAAAGTGTGCTTTATTACACTATACATGGTGGTAGAGCTTAACTGTATTCCTTTTACACCAACGGTTTGATGTCACTTTTGTCTGGAACAGGAATGGTCTGGTGTCACATAGATGAACTATTATACGCTATAATAGTTCAGGGCGTCACTGAACTATTATAGTTAAAGTAACGAAAGCACGCTTAAGCGTCGAAAGTGCTTTAACGCTATAATAGTTCAGGGCTAAAGTGTGCTTTATTACACTATACATGGTGGTAGAGCGAACTGTAGTTCTTTTCTAAGATGCCAAATTTAATACTTTCTAAGGATAATTCACGATTAATTTAGGCAGAAAACAAACGGCGGTGTCGGGTGACCTAAATTAAGAATCCTCGCACAGGGCTAACTGGCTGTTCTATTGATGTGTCTGCCCCCTACGTTAAGGCCTAACGTTACCAGAAAAAACAAATGATAACAGTTTACGTTGGATTAAATATCTTCTCTGAATTATTTTAATTACATCTGTTGCGCAGTGGAATTGAAAACTAAACTAACTAAAATTAAAGTACCGAAATATGCTATTTGGGGAACTAAACGTGACTCTCTTGATTAAACTGATGAAATAATTCAAACAATACAAATGGGGAACTAAGCGTGAATCTCTTATAACAAATGCTAATGAGGCAAGAAACTAAATGTGATACCTTAAATTCTATTATCTACACTATCTGGCTCTATTGCAGCGTAAGTCTACTATATACAGTATCTAGCTCTATAGCAGCTAGCTATCTGGAACTTCTATTTCGATGCACTAATACATTCTTTATATCAGTCTATCTAAATCCTACTTTGACGAGCTGTCACCCAACTCAAGAAACGACCGAACTAAAGGGAAACCTGAACTCAACTGACGTCTAAACTCAATTACGCCTTAACCCAAGCCTAACCTGTACACAACTGGCCGATTCGACCGTTTCCCCGTGGTCGAGAGCACGTGGTCTGACTGCGTGAAAAGTCATGCTTCTCGGTAGGCCACTTAAGCATGGTGCGTTTTCGCGATCTGTTCCCACTGTTTTGTCTTCAGACCATACCCCTCTCCATGATTGACCTCTGTCAATCATTGACCAAAACCTATCTGAAAGCTAATCATAACTTTTTGTTTCACTCGATGTCCATTCAAGTGGGCATACTGTGTTTGCTGGTCTTTTCAGTACTGTCTGTTTAGTCCTAATATCAACCACCACGAACGTGGCCATCTTTTCCTGGATAGATCTTCACAATTCTGCCAAGCTGCCAGTTTCCACGAGGCATATTGGGAGATATTACTAAAACAACATCTCCAACTTGAAGATCCCTATGAGGAGAGAACCACTTTCGTCTAGTGTTGAGACCTGGTAACCATTCCCTCATCCACCGACACCAAAAGTGACACACCAACTCTTGAACTCTTCTCCACCGTTTGCGTGGATTGAAATCTGTTGTGTCAACTGTGTCAGGTGCGAACACCCCGCCAACCTGTCCATGTAAGAAGTGATTTGGTGTGAGAGGTGTACTGTCATGTGGATGAGCCGACTGGTAAGTTAAGGGACGAGAGTTGATAAGAGCCTCTGCTCCAGTGAAAGCTGTCGTCAACTCTTCATCTGTGACATCACCACCGCTGAGGATAGCAAAGATGCCACGCTTTGCAGCCTTTATCATGGTTTCAAACACCCCTCCGAAAATGTGATGCATGAGGGGATTGAAGCACCATTTTATTCCCTTGTTTGCAAGTGAATGTCTAACTGCACTCTCATCAAGGGGAGGAACAGCTCCTTCAATTCTTTGACAGAACCAACAAAGTTGGTACCATTATCAGATACTACCAGCTCAGGCAGACCTCTTCTGTTTACCATTCGAAAAAGGCATTCAGAAAAGAATCTGTGTATCCAAGCCATAGGCCATTTCCAAATGTACGGCTCTGGTAGACAAGCATGTAAACAGACAAAGGTAACGCTTCTGTCGTTGTTTACTTCTACCTTGAACGGTCAAGAATGGCCCGCATAATCTACTCCAGTCTGTGTAAAGGCTCAAGTGAACCTCCCATTCTCATCTTTGGCAAAGGCCATAACAGGTTGAACTGGCTTTGCCTTATTCAAACAGCACCGTGCACATTTTCGAACTCCCATGCCCGAATCGGCTTCTCTGCCAGAGATTATCCAGTACTTGGCTGAAAGTGAAGCTAGTATTTGGTTTGTTCCAGCCGATATGCTTACCTTCATCATGATAATGCTTAATAATAAGCGTTGTCACCCAGCTGTTTTTGGCAAAATGATTGGAAATTTAGTATCATGCGGTAAGTATTCAGCATATTCCAAGCGTCCCTTCAACCTCATGAGCCCATTGTCATCCACCTGAGGATGGAGGTTTAAGATTTTCGACCCTGACGGTAATGGCTTTCTGGATGTCAATGAGGAATGTTCTTTTGCAAAGATTCTTTCTGCACATTCATGATGATTCGGTGTTCAGCGTCACTTATCTCATCTGGTGATAATTCACCTTCAAGTTTATCATCTTTCGATGCTAGACAATTGTGCAGAAACCTGTAAACCCATGCATTCACTTCGTGTGAGTCTTCTCCATGAGGAGAATCGAGAGGGTTCTAGTCAGCCATGAGTCACACGGCACTGAAAGAAAGCTTGCAGATCGGCGTACTTCTGTTCATCTCTTTCAGGTCATCCTCCTTTGATGACTTCAGCTTAGTTTCAGGCCATTCACTTTCATCTCTCAGTAAGTAAGAAGGCCCTGACAACCACAATGAATTTGTCATCAACTGATGAGCTGTGGCACCTCGACTAATCAAATCAGCGGGATTTGCCTCACTGGGAGTATGTCTCCACTGTGAAGGACTTGTAACCTCATGGATTTCACCCACCCTGTTGGCAACGAAGGTTTGAATATTCGGCTGTTATTTCTAATCCAGCATAGCACGCGTTCATGTTGTCCGACCAGAAGACAACCTGCCTAATGTCAACATCAAGTGCTTCTGTGATATTCAGTGCCAATCGCAGACCTAGGATAGCTGCCATAAGTTCTAATCTGGGTATGCTGACAGCTTTCAGTGGCGCAACTCTGCTTTTAGATGCTACTATCATGCTCAATTTGTCTCCGTTCGGGTAAGCAGTTACTGCATACACAACTGCTCCATATGCTATTTGCGAGGCATCAACAAAGGTGTGCAAAGTCAGAGATGTCATATCTTTATGACTGCATAGACACCTGGGAACTTTCACTGCTTCTAGACCACTCAAGTCTCCCAGCCATTGCTCTATTCTGTGTCTCAAGACCTCATCTACCTCATCATCCCACTCAAGTCCCGCCATCCACATCTCTTGCAGAATCACCTTAGCAGTAACAATGAATGGTGATATTAAACCCAAGGGATCAAAAAGCCTGGCAACATATCTCAGGAAAACTCTTTTTGAGATCTTCTCAACAGTAATGGGAAAGTTTACCCTGAATGTGAAACAATCACTTGTGGCTATCCACAGTAGGCCAAGAGTTTTGACTGAAGGCAAATGTCCTCTGTTGAGATCAACCTCATTCACCCTATCCTTCTCAGGTATGCCATCTAAAACCTCAAGACAATTTGACATCCACTTTCTGGCATGCATTCCTGCCCTAGACCATAGTTCCTTTAACTGTTCATAGAGTTCTATACCCTTTTCCACATCTTCAACAGAAGTCATGCTATCGTCCATATATGTCGATTTGATGACTGTTTCTGCAGCCAGTGGATATTCTCTCATGTGAACTCGAGCATGTTCCTGTGTCACAAATTGGGCCAAGAATGGAGAGGATGTAACTCCAAATACAACCCTGCTAAACTCGTACACATCAGGGGTTCTAGTCATATCCATTGACCTCCACATGAATCTATGATAAGGTCGATCATCTGGTGACATACTGATCTGAAGAAACATTTCAGCTATGTCACAGATAAGTGCCACCGGATGCTTTCTGAAGTGAAGCAAAACATCAAACAACTCGCTTTGCAGCTTAGGTCCTGCATGTATTGCATCATTTAGAGAGAGGTCCTCGTGTTTAGCTGAGGCATCGAACACAATACGAACCTTGGTGGTACTCTTGTCAGGACGTTAAAATGGGAAAGTGAGGAAGGTACCATTTTGTTTCACTAAGTGGTTCATCTTGTGGAACTTCTTGAATGTATCCCTTTGACAGGTACTCAGAAATAATGTCATCATAAGCCTTTGCTATTTCTGGATGTTTAGACAACTTCTTTTCAGTACTGTAAAGACGTTTAACAGCCATATGGTAGTTGTCAGTCAGCAAATGAACATTTTCATTCCAAGGAATACCTATTTCATATCTGCCATCTTTGTGTGTGAGTGTTTCATGTGCTGCTTGTAAAACCACTTCATCATCAGGCTTTATTTGAGATGATGTTGGGTTTCCGTGATCTAATTCCCAAAACTTGTGCATTAACTGCTCAATATCTGTGTTGTCTATGAAGAATGAGCTAGCAAAGTTACTTTGTTCAAACCTACCTTGATCAGACAAGCTTGACCTATGCAAGTCCACCCAAGTGGTGTAAGTCTTGCAACTGGATCCCCAGGATGTCCAGTTACTTCTTTATATGACTGGTGCAATTCTAATTGATCAACACCAATGAGCAAATCGACCATGCAAGGCTTTGCTACTTTGGGAATGGAATATTTTGCAAATGTGCCCATTTGCTTCCATGCTTTTGCCAGTCTATCACTTGCAAAGTACCAGTCACACTATTAGTTGTCATTGCAGACATCTGGATACCTAGATCACCACTGATACTTTCAAGCTTGAATTCTACTGGTTTTGTGTCAAACGATTCTCTGTGACCATTAAGGACATTTACAAAGATCCTTTGTGGTTCACCCTGCAACCCCAACTCAGCTGCAATGTCCGCATTGATGTAACGACTTCGCGGCTTGCATCATCCAGCAAAGCGTTTACTGTAATGCTCCTCGCACCATTCTTTTAATACCACTGGAACTGTGCGAAGAGCTATCAACGTATTGGACACTGGTGGCATTGTCGCATGAGATCTTTCAGGTTGAACACATGTTTTAGATTTTGCATGTTCTACTTCATGACCCATATTAACCACTGACTCAACAACCTGTGGTTCAGCTTTGTTTATCTCTTGGTAGCCCTGAGCAGAATTGTCTGTGCATTCATTCCGTCTAGATTTTGTATTATGTAATAATCTATTGTGACTCTTTTAAGCAACCTGATATACCACATAACCTATTTTGACGACAGCTGATACCAAGATGATTGCCCCTAAGACAGCGAAAACAAAGTGTCAGTCGTTTGGCTACATTCCATCTCTCAGACACGAAAGCATACTTTTTGAAAACTTTGCAGTTCCAAATCTCATGCTCTCCAGAACATACACCACAAACCGTAACATCACTTACAAATGTGCTAGACATTTTCTGTTTGGGGTTTGATCTCTTACCAGGTGTACTTAATCCTCGTGACTGCTTCTTCGCAACAAAAAATCTGAAATTCTGCTTCTAACATTATCCATTCTCTGAGAGTCTCCACTGACTCCTGTCTGTCCCTTTCAAACACCCACTTTTGATATTGTGCCACCATAGGTTCAGTCATCTTTTTAACAAAGTGACATAAAGGAGACCATTTCCTAACTCCTCTACCCTATCTGACTCTCTGATGTTTGCAACTGCAACATCCAAAATATCAGCGAATTTCTCTAGATCCTCAACATGACCCTCACGAATTGGCTTGAAATTACTAATTTCTTCATTTTGGATTGCAATCTGCCGCCGCTTCCCACCAAACTTCCTTTCAAGGCGTTCCAGAGCAACATCATAAGCTACTGAGCTATGACCTAAAGATTCAACTGATTTCAAAGCTTCCCCCGATAGATACTGGCGTAATTGCAACAACTTATACTCAGGTGTTGCTGGGGACTGATCAATGCAAGTCATAAAGGCAGCCTTCCAGCTTTGGTAGGTTTTCACGTCACCAGAAAATACAGGTATGGAAACACGCTTTAACTGTTTCCACATGTCATTCCCTATGGCCTGATTATCAGACTTACCTGGGCGTTCTGTTCTACTAGAATGCAATGCTAGTTTATCCACCTTACCTTGGTTGGGTCCTTCAGATATCAAACGTTCATTGTCAGCTGCCTCGATTGTTGCCTAAATGCAACCACCTAGATTGTCGCCGAGATACAACACTTTGTTGCTGAACAATTCGGGATTTTTCACCCTCGTTGCAAAGCCTATCTAACCCCCACTGGACAGAGCGTTTTCCTGATCTGTCAGATTCGATCTACCTTGTAAATATATCTTTACAGATTCAAGAACTGTGTTGTTTTCCTCTTCTAAACTATTAAGTTTCGTGATCCAACTTTTCAACATTCTCACGATCTTCCAGTTTAACATAAACCTTTGAAAGTTCCAGTATAACATCTGTTGCTTTCTACGAAAAGCTCGTTCAGTTGATCTACACCATCCCTTACCTGTTTCTGTGATGGTTGATCATCACTTTCTATCAAAGTCATGAGTTTATTCCTAGCTTTGGTACAACTCGATTTGGCTGTTGCCTTTTGTTGTTTTAACACAAAACACACGAACATCGTTAGGCTGTCGCCGACAGAGATCTAGGCTCGAAGTAGTTGACCTAAGCTGGCTATCTATTCCAGTTTCCGACATAGTTTGGTCTGAACTGTCTATCTATCTAAATATCAAATGAGTTCTATTTCTATCTATTGGTTCTATTGAAAATGTAACAGAAAACCACGCTCTGCTACCATTGTTGCGCAGTGGAATTGAAAACTAAACTAACTAAAATTAAAGTACCGAAATATGCTATTTGGGGAACTAAACGTGACTCTCTTGATTAAACTGATGAAATAATTCAAACAATACAAATGGGGAACTAAACGTGAATCTCTTATAACAAATGCTAATGAGGCAAGAAACTTAATGTGATACCTTAAATTCTATTATCTACACTATCTGGCTCTATTGCAGCGTAAGTCTACTATATACAGTATCTAGCTCTATAGCAGCTAGCTATCTGGAACTTCTATTTCGATGCCCTAATACATTCTTTATATCAGTCTATCTAAATCCTACTTTGACGAGCTGTCACCCAACTCAAGAAAGCGACCGAACTAAAGGGAAACCTGAACTCAACTGACGTCTAAACTCAATTACGTCTTAACCCAAGCCTAACCTGTACACAACTGGCCGATTCGACCGTTCCCCCGTGGTCGAGAGCACGTGGTCTGACTGCGCGCGTGAAAGTCATGCTTCTCGGTAGGCCACGCGAAGCATGGTGCGTTTACGCGATCTGTTCCCACTGTTTTGTCTTCAGACCAACATCTGTCATTAACGTAAACCATATGGGGCAATATGAACATAGCATTTCTACTACCAACGTAAGTTTAGATCAGTACATCAAGATGAAGCTGAGTAGTCAAGCGACATTCCACGATTGCATTGTGGGAATGTACGACATTGCGAACGTTACCTTATTGCTGAAAACTTGTGAGTTGAATTGACACATTTTAACCGCCGTGAAAACATAAGCGTAATGTTTCCACCAGTGATGTTAGCTGCGTGAAGCAACTGCAAACCAAGATCACGGGATGCAACGGAGTAGTTTACTGTAGGAGGCGTCGCAGGCGATGACAACTGACATGCATCGTGGCGCCACTTACATTGTGACATAATGTAAAATGGTTCGATTACAAGGGGCACACTAGAATGGTGCAGTGACGGGATACGCGCCACTCAATTGTTAGGTCATCAAAAACTATACCTTTATTGTCCGATAATGTTTTTTTTTTTCGATTGTTCTAACCGCTAGGCATCTTAGAATTCCAGACAAACATCACACCAGACCATTGTAGCAGCAGACCATCTCAGTTACAGACTATTTGGTATCAGATCCTGTGCACCAGACTCTTGTAACCTTTGTCCTTGTGGGACCACTGCTGTTCCAGTTTATAGTGGCACCAGTCCATAGTTTTCCACGAGTCTATTGTAACATCAGAGCATATTTACACCCATCTACTGTAACACCAGATCACCAGACCATTGTAGCACAGATTGGTAACACTTTAGTGCACAGTACATGCTTGAATGTGAATCGGTCATATTGCAGGTCCTAGCATCAGGGCGTTCTGCGGTCACAGCCTCATCTTCATCACCTTGCCCTGGCTCTGCTGCAGGTGGTGGAGCTTGACTGTAGCGGGGTCAGCATTGTCGAACAGCGCACAGCCATGCCAGGATATGGTAGGTAACAGCCATGCCAGGATATGGTAGGTAACTGCCATGCCAGGATATGGTAGGTAACAGCCATGCCAGGATATGGCAGGTAACAGCCATGCCAGGATATGGCAGGTAACAGCCATGCCAGGATATGGTAGGTAACTGCCGTGCCAGGATATGGTAGGTAACAGCCATGCCAGGATATGGTAGGTAACTGCCATGCCAGGATATGGTAGGTAACTGCCATGCCAGGATATGGTAGGTAACAGCCAAGCCATGATGCATTAGCCTACAGCAGTGTTAGGATACAGTAGATAGTTCCCTGTGGCAGCAAATAACAGGTTTATTGCTGATCATGATTCAAGTTGTTAATGTCCACGGTCAGTCACGAATTTAGTCTGTCAATTCAATTCAATTCAATATTTTATTGTATGAAAGGCCATAGGCCCATATACAAAAGAGATACATCTTAACAATGGCATATATAATCAATTTTCTAACTTATCAATTCTTTTTCTTAACAAAATGCATTGTAGATAAATAGAGCAACTTTGTGTTGTTTTGGAGGTTCTTTGCTGGAAAGTAAAGGAAGACAATAGATTAACGTTGATTTGAGATAAAGACAGTTCGCGGTAGATACTTATTTCTTAGATTTTCATATACAGGACAAATAAACATAAAATGGAATTCGATCTTCAATAATAAAACAGAATGGACATAATCTTTGGGTTTTTTCCATAGAAACATATCTTCCACGGTTAATTAATAAATCATTAAGGCCTAATCTAAACCATTATAAAAGCATTGCGAATATTTCTGTATTGAAGGTGAGCAAGATAACACTCTGGCTCAAAAAGCGACTTAAACTGACGATATGAATCATTATCTAGAACTTTCATTGATAGTTGAATGCCATTCCTGCTTAAACATATCAATAGCCCGCATATCTGAAACTGTTTAATAAACATATTTGCATTGCCAACTGTCTGTGATAACCAAATACAACCAAAACCATATCTAAATAGTAAGGTGCGAATATGAGATGTCCAGTTATTCTTTCCAAGATAATCAAGATGTAAAAGCATATTGAAAGCTTTTTAGGTAAGCGATGTTCAGGCATATTAATTATTTTACACCAATATTTTAAACAACGACAATAAGATGATATGTACAATGGGAACCTCCCACATTCACCATAAACCATAACATTTGGTGTTGACAAACCAACATTTAGAAACTTTTTACAGGCAAGCAAATGAATTTTTCTATGGTATAATACTCTTTAAAACCCCACATTTCAGATCCATACAGTAAAATCGGTTGTATCTGAGAGTCAAATAATTTGAAGTAAATAGTCGATTGGAACAAGACCGAGCATAGGAACAACAGAGTGAAGTTGTAAAAGAGCTTTCTTTGCTCTCCTCGCCAGGTTAAGTCACGGACTTATTCAGATTCAGCGTATGGGTAAACAATATGCCAAGGTATTTATAATCATTCACAACATTCATACGTTTATCTTTTAAAACCATTTCTCTCTAGCCGACAAAGGACCACCTCTTCGAATATAGCGATGTTTGTTTTATCTAGATTCACACTCAACTGCCATTTATCTGTATACGCTGAGAGTATATCTATTTGATTTTGAAGACCAATTACAGAGCTGGACATAAGAATGACATCATCAGCAAATAATAACATAAAAAGTTCTATTACATCGGAGAGAGTTGGATGCCATGTTTACCAGACTTCATGATATCTAAATATAATTCGTTAATGAAAAGGAGAAAAGTAAAGGACTTAAAATACATCCTTGACGCCAGACCGACAGGACAATCGAAAAAGTCACTTACACCATAGCCACAGCGGACACATGACTTTACATTGGAATACATCGATCTTATGATACCATACATTTTACCTCTCAAACCTATATTTCTTAAGCATTTCCACATTCTACCTCTATCTACAGAATCAAACGCCTTTTGAAATCTACAAAAGCTACATACAACTTTTCGCTTGCTAAAGGATAAATATCTCTCAATAATAGCATACAAGGTAAATATATGATCAAATGTTGAGTAGTCCTTTCTAAATCCAGCTTGAGGTTCCGGTATTAAATCTCTCATATTCGACCACTGTGTTAACCTACTGTTGATAATAGATGTAAAAGTTTTACCTAGAATACTAGTCAGAGAAATACCCTATAATTGTCAGGATTTTGTGCATTTCGTTTTATATAACGGGATAATAATAGATTGCCCATCACGGAAGGGAAGCGACCTGTATCAAATATTCGATTGAACATTTTAACCAGGAAGGGCATAATGTCAGGTAATGAGTATTTTAGCATTTCTGAAATAACACCATCAACTCCAGCAGATTTACCAACTTTAAGGCCGAGACACAGCATTCAGTATATCATATTCCGTAATAGGTGATTCCAGCACAAGCCTATCAACATCGTTAAACTCTTCACTTAGCACATCGCTGTCACAATCTGATAACCAATTGTCAACATCGTAAGAAATATCTTCCTTGGAAAAGAGATTCTTAAAATGACATAACCATTCCGCTTTTGCGATATATTTACTATGGGGGTAGAGCGACTTTGCAGAGAACGTATATTTTTCCAAAATAGTTTCGGGCTGTTTAGGGAGTTATTAAGTAAGCTCAAGTCTTGACGATTGGATATCATATTTGAACTTTCTGCAAGAAGATTTATAAATGTTTCTAAGTCTGCAGTAACCTTTACGATTATATTCACTACTTACATCGTCTAAATTTTCTTAGGGCTTTCCTGCTTTCTGTCCTCGCTTGTCTACAAGCTTTATTCAATTTAGGTTTACTAGTTCCAGGATCAAAATGCTTCATTTGTCTTTTCATACTTGAAGCTGAATGAAGAAGACAATGTACAAAATCTGCAATGCCCTCTTCATGGGAATTTTCAAGTTTAGTTAACAAAGAATTATCATTGATATGCAGCATCTGTCTCAATGATGCAGTAAATAAGTCTACCTTCGATTCATCCCAGACAAATCTAAAGTCAAGCGTCATGGTCATCACAATCTACAGTACGCTTAGCATGACTGCTTAAAGGAAACCTGCAAGATAACTCAAGGGGAAATGGTCAGAGTCCAACCGATCACCAACATTTAGCATTTCTACAAACTGAAAAAACTAACAGATGCAAGAAAATAATCAACAACACTAGAACCCCTTTCTCCTACATAAGTAAACTCGCCGCCTTTGTCACCTTCAACTCTCCCGCTCAATATATACAGACGACAAACATAATTATAACACTCGTTCACTATTACTGCATGGGTGAGGTGAGGTTTGTTACACTTACATTACATAATGATGTGTAGGCACACATGCATGTCTTATTTTTATTATTATTATAGGATATTTATATAGCACACATATCCGCGCAACTATTGCATGCTCAAGGCGCTGGGGTTTTGTTTCCCTTGATCATTGGATGTCAGTCTCAATGGCACATCATATTATCAATCTCAACTCCCTGGGGAGTATACAGACTCATGCAGCCACTAGGCGTACCGAGTTATTGTGGCTTTCTCATCCTAACGAGGTACCCATTCACAGCTGGGTGGACTGGGACACAGAGTCACATTACTTTGTCCAAGTTTACTGCATGTTGCTGTACCCACAAATAGGTGTTTGCATGTATTCATGTGGCCACCATCTGGTCATATACCAATGGATTCGTGGGTTCTTTTAAGTACCACGGGTTGTGTGCTGTACACTAGGGGTTGTGACAACATGGAGTCTGCACACAAAGTTGACTCTAAGGTTTTCACAGCAGCCGGTCACAGGTGGACTCGATCCTGACACCTCAACTTCGCTGGATCACTAGCCTGGCGCTCTAGCCAGTTCGCCCATCGTGCCCCCTGTCCATTTATGCCAAATGCCAGACGTGGCAACTGCCTGGTTAACTTCTGTGTTTGGGTTAAATAATGCGTTTTTTTAACAAGGAATGTTTAATGACAAGTAAACAAAGTTATCTCCCCTACCTGCAGGATTCAATGTGATGGACTCGGACCACCCAGCAGGAGACCAAGAAAAGTATTTCAGCACTTCAAGGATAAAAAGATTGCCGACTGCTTGATGAAAACATGTCGACTTTTGGGTTCTCATGGTAGGTGTACTGGGTTCTTTAATGGAAGATGTACTTGTCATCTTGGTAGATGTAGTTGTCATCATGGTAGATGTACTTGTCATCATGTTAGGTGTGCTTGTCATCATGGCAGGTGTAATGCACTTGTCATCACGGCAGGTGCACTTGTCATCTTGGTGTACTTGTCATCATGGTAGGTGCACTTGTCATCATGGCAGGTGCACTTGTCATAGGTGCACTTGTCATCTGGCAGGTGTACTTGTCATCAGGTCATGGTCAGGTGTACTTGTCATCATGGTAGATGTACTTGTCATCATGGTAGATGTACTTGTCATCATGGTCATCATGGCAGGTGTACTTGTCATCATGGTAGGTGTACCTGTCATCATGTTAGGTAATCATGGCAGATGTACTTGCACTTGTCATCATGGCAGGTGTACTTGTCATCAGGTGTGGCTTGTCATCATGGTCAGGTACTTAGGTCACTTGTCATCATGGTAGATGTATCATGTCATCATGGTAGGTGCACTTGATGTGCACTTGCAGGCAGGTGTACTTGTACATCTATCATCATAGGGTAGTCATCATGGTGTACCTTGTCATCATGGCAGATGTACCTGTAATCATGGTAGATGTATCTTGTAATCATCATGGCAGATGTACTTGTATCATGGCAGGTGTACTTGTCATCATGGCAGGTGTACTTGTCATCATGGCAGGTGTAATTTGTCATCATGGCAGGTGTACTTGTCATCGTGGTAGGTGTGTAATCATGGCAGCATGTACTTGTCATCATAGCGGGTGTACTTGTCATCATGGCAGGTGTAATGGTTGTACTTGTCATCATGGTAGTGTACCTGTCATCATGGTAGATGTGTACTTGTCATCATCATGGCAGTATACCAATTTGGTGTAATGTAGCGGTAGGCGGCTTGTCATCATGGTAGGTGTACTTGTCATCATGGTAGGTGTACTTGTCATCATGGTAGGTGTACTTGTCATCATGGTAGGTCATGGTCATCGTGGTAGGTGTACTTGTCATCATGGTATCTTGGTGTACTTGTCATCGTGGTAGGTACTTGTCATCATGGCAGTGTGTACTTGTCATCATCATGGCAGGTGTACCTGTAATCATGGTAGGTGTACTTGTCATCATGGCTTGTAATGGTGGAAGGTGTACTTGTCATCATGGCAGATGTACTTGTCATCATGGCAGGTGTACCTGTAATACTTGTCATCATGGCAGGTGTACCTGTATCATCATGGCAGATGTAACTTGTAATCATGGCAGATGTACTTGTCATCATGGCAGGTGTACCTGTCATCATGGCATGTACCTGTAATCATGGTGTACCTGTCATCATGGCAGATGTAATTTGTAGGTGTATCATCATGGCAGATGTACTTGTCATCATGGTAGGTGTACTTTGTCATCATGGTAGGTGTACTTGTCATCATGGTAGGTGTGTACTTGTCATCATGGTAGGTGTACTTGTCATCATGGTACTTGTCATGTGTCATCATGGCAGATGTAGGTGTACTTGTCATCGTGGCAGGTGTACTTGTCATCATGGTAGGTGTACTTGTCATCGTGGCAGGTGTAGGTGGTAATGGTAGTAATTTGTCATCGTGGTAGGTGTACTTGTCATCATGGTAGGTGTACTTGTCATCATGGTAGGTGTACTTGTCATCATGGTAGGTGTACTTGTCATCATGGTAGGTGTACTTGTCATCATGGCAGGTGTAGATGGTGTGTACTTGTGATCATGGTAGGTGTACTTGTCATCATGGTAGGTCATCGTGGTAGGTGTACTTGTCATCATGGCAGTGTACTTGTCATCATGGTAGATGTACTTGTCATCATGGCAGGTGTATCATGAGTAAGGTATTACTTGTCACTTGTACTTGTCATCATGGTAGGTGTACTTGTCATTATGGTAGGTGGGTACTTGTCATCATGGCGTGTCATCATTATGGTAGATGTACTGTCATCATAGTAGATGGTATGATGGTAGGTGTGTACTGGATGATCAGGATAGGTGTACTTTTGTATTATGGTATGTGTATTACCACGTGGAAGGGGTTTTGGTGTAGTGGGTGATCATAGTGGTTACCATGGTAATCTACTCTGTTGTATTTATTGTAGGTGTTCTGTGTGGTCAAGATAATCTTGGTAGATGTTTAGGTGAGCATGGTACTTCATCAGGTATAACACAACTCACATCATCAGGTAAAACAACTCACATCATCAGGTATAACACAACTTCGCATCATCAGGTATAACAACTCACATCATCAGGTATAACACAACTCACATCATCAGGTATAACACAACTCACAGCATCATGTATAACACAAGCTCACCACATTATGTATAACACAACTCACAGCATCATGTACAACACAACTCACAGCATCATGTATAACACAACTCACATCATCAGGTATAACACAACTCACATCATCAGGTATAACACAACTCCACATCATCATGTATAACACAACCCCCCCATTATGTATAACACAACTCACACCATCAGGTATAACACAACTCACATCATCAGGTATAACACAACTCACATCATCAGGTATAACACAACTCACATCATCATGTATAACACAACTCACAACATCAGGTATAACACAACTCACCACATTATGTATAACACAACTCACCACATTATGTATAACACAACTCACATCATCAGGTATAACACAACTCACATCATCAGGTATAACACAACTCACATCATCAGGTATAACACAACTCCCCACATTATGTGTATAACACAACTCACACCATCAGGTATAACACAACTCACATCATCAGGTATAACACAACTCACATCATCAGGTATAACACAACTCACATCATCAGGTATAACACTACTCACAACATCAGGTATAACACAGCTCCCCATATCAGTTACATCACAACTGTCCATCAATTTTGACATAAGCCTAATAGAGTGAGGTGAGGTGAAATTGGGTTTAACATCACCCTTAAGAATATTTTGCTCATGTGACGCCGAGGTGCATGCGTGTGTGTGTGTAGGTGTGGCTGCTTGTACTAGCCCAGACTGAAGCTGGTTTTATAGTGCTAGCTCACTGAGGTACCATGCGCATTGAAGCATGAATACCCTTACTCAGACACATTATACTGACTCTGGTAGGTGTACTTCTCTTCATGGTAGATGTACTTGTCATCATGGCAGTGTACTTGTCATTATGGTAGGTGGGGACGATGTCATCATAGTAGATGTACTTGTCATGATGGTAGGTGTGTACTGGATGATCAGGATAGGTGTACTTTTGTATTATGGTATGTGTGGCCCATTAACGTGGAAGGGGTTTTGGTGTAGTGGGTGATCATAGTGGTTACCATGGTAATCTACTCTGTTGTATTTATTGTAGGTGTTCTGTGTGGTCAAAATAATCTTGGTAGATGTTTAGGTGAGCATGGTACTTGGTCTGGGTTGGTGTGTTACATGTAGGTATTAATCTGCTGTTGTTCCATTTTCCAGGAGACCTTAGCATCCTGGCGGACCACTTCCTGGACATCGTCAATGAATCTGCGCGGTATCGGATGTCAGCTACCCTCATCTTAAATGAGATTGTGTTTGGACATAAGCCCACATCAGGTATAACACAACTCCCCACATTATGTATAACACAACTCACAACATCATGTATAACACAACTCACATCATCATGTATAACACAACTCACATCATCATGTATAACACAACTCACATCATCATGTATAACACAACTCACATCATCATGTATAACACAACTCACATCAGGTATAACACAACTCACATCATCATGTATAACACAACTCACATCATCAGGTATAACACAACTCACATCATCATGTATAACACAACTCACATCATCAGATATAACACAACTCACATCATCATCAGGTATAACACAACTCATCAGGTATAACACAACTCACATCAGATTAACACAGCTCATCATCATGTATAACACAACTCCACATCACCATGTATGGCCCTTACAACTGACAACATCATGTTTAACACAACTCACATCATGTATAACACAACTCATCATCAGGTATAACACAACTCACATCACCATGTATAACAACTCCACATCATCAGGTATAACACAACTCCACATCACCATGTATAACACAACTCCACAGCATCATGTATAACACAACTCACATCATGTATAACACAACTCACATCATCAGGTATAACACAACGCACATCATCATGTATAACAACTCATCATCAGATATAACACAACTGACATCATCGGGTATAACAACTCACATCATCAGGTATAACACAACTCACATCATCAGGTAAAACAACTCACATCATCAGGTATAACACAACTCACATCATCAGGTATAACAACTCACATCATCAGGTATAACACAACTCACATCCATCAGGTAAAACAACTCCACATCATCAGGTAAAACAACTCACATCATCAGGTATAACACAACTCACACATCATCAGGTATAACAACTCACAGCATCATGTATAACACAACTCACCGCATTATGTATAACACAGCTCCACAGCATCATGTATAACACAACTCACGGCATCATGTATAAACACAACTCACATCATCAGGTATAACACAACTCACATCATCAGGTATAACACAACTGACATCATCAGGTATAACACAACTCCCCACATTATGTATCACACAACTCACACCATCAGGTATAACACAGCTCACATCATCAGGTATAACACAACTCACAACATCAGGTATAACACAAGCTCACAGCATCGGGTATAACACAACTCCCCATATCAGTTACATCACAACTGTCCATCAATTTTGACATAAGCCTAATAGAGTGAGGGTGAGGTGAAATGGGGTTTAACATCACCCTTAGAGAATTTTTTGCTCATGTGGCGAGGTGCATCGCGTGTGTGTGTGTAGGTGTGGCTGCTTATACTAGCCCAGACTGAAGCTGGTTTTATAGTGCTAGCTCACCGAGGTACCATGCGCGTGA